ATTTGAATGACAAATACTATACATGTACTCCAAGTAATATTTTTTGCATAGAATTGGCATCCAGTCAAAATTCGAGTCGGCGAGGCGCAAGAGTGTTTTCAACTCAGGTCGCCATTTTTGTTTTATATCTGAACAGTGAAAATGATAAGACTCCCACGAACATTTTCTTAGGTGGGGGGAGAGGCATAAATAGTTAATATGCCGCAAAATGCATTGGGGAGTGAGTTTGTGGAACGTACCTCGTAATGCACATTTTTTATAACAAATGGTCAAGCTAAAATAGTTCAAAAGTACGGTACACGCACATGACTATAATTTGGAATATCTTCATTCAAAGGTATGTGAACCTCACCTGTGTCGTTATTCCTGGGCTCTCGAACGTAATCTTTAGCAATTTTAAAGAATAGCTCTTCTGCAAATTGCAAGAAACAAAGTCAAGACTTCCGTCAGTGTGCCTTTAGAACAGCATTGCTTCAACTAAACAACAGAAACACAGCTTTTTAGTATGTGCAGAAAAAAAAGCAACATCCAGTGTCAGTTACTGACAAAAGTCCCAAGGGCAGAGATGTGAGTCAATAAAAATACAGTACGGCTTCAAACAAAACTGAACCAACGATAGCATGTGTATCAAATATTGCACATGCTAATACTTACTGATGTTGTAGCCAGTTTTACTTGAAGTTTCAAACACCTCTGCATGGAGTTCTGTGAAGGCAAAAGGGTTTTACATTTTCAATGATTTGGCAAAACAAAGTCGGTCGTTCTGGAGGCACTGAATTCATGACAACGAACATTAGGTGTAACATTACCTTCCGCGTAATCTGTCACACTGTGGTAGTCCACCTGTCTTCTCTTCCTGTCGTCATCCACAAGGTCAAACTTAGTACCGCATAAATAAATCTTGCAAAACTAAAGCAGGAAAATAAATCACCAAATGACGGTGAAACTCAAGACAGCTCAGTGGCAAAAACCTGTCACTGTATGACAATATTTGTGTACATGTACATGTTATCAGTTCCACAAAACTTGCAAAAGTTGACAAACTTTCTTCAATTCACAGATAAGCCAGAATACTTAAATCTCTTGAACTTGCTGGAACCTCAAAGCTACCAACGGAAATCAACCGCATGATGCTAACCTGTTTAAGTATGACAATGACAAATCTTCAAACGATTTCATTCAGTGTAAAGCCACAGTTAATGAGTTACTAACCCTTCCAAACACTGCAAACCTCTTTGATGTGCTTTGATCGGCTTTGGGTATCTCACCTTCTAAGTGGCAATTTATCTCAGGCTGAGAAAAGAAAAATCTTTTAAAACTAGGCAAATTCTGAGCCAAAACGTACCTCTTCATTCTTCTTGAGTTCTTCCACCCAGAACTTGGCCCTGTCGAAGCTGGTTGTGTCTGTAAGATCTGCAGGGATAAACAAGTGACAGAAAGGAGTCCCTATGATAGCTTAGAAGCAGTGCAAAAAAACCGCCTTTGGAACACATATAACACAACACTATACTTGGTGGAAGACTGGACAGTATTCAAACGTCAATGTTCAAAAATCCAGTTTCAATCATTCTGAGGGTTCTACTGAGAATATTTCAAAGTACGATGATTCAGAAAAATGAAATATAAAAGAAGCACTGAGGCATGGTCAATAATTCTATAAAGAAGTTAGAGTGAACAGAATATTTCCTTAGAAAGCCTGTCAAATATTGAGATACAAGATTGCAGCAAGTTCGAAGGGTACTAAACACACAGAAAAATTATTCAGTGCTCGCTACATGTGCCCTGTTAGAATTTTTACAAGGTAATAAGATCAACCATATTCAAGGAAGTGCAATTTTAGAAAACTATGAAGCAGTGGCACTACATTGTACTAAATGGGAATTATTTAAAGATGTGGCTCCATTAAAACAAATGTTTGTTAAAAAAAATGCAGGCCAAAATTCTGTTCAAATGATGGCTTCAGTGCCCACGCAGGTAATTGCTTTACAAGTACACCAGTATGCCCAATGTACACTATTAAGCAACAATGCATGGATAATAGGGCTGTATCAAATTGAATAATTCACGATTTGAATATTCAACCTTCATTTCGATTGAATATCTGAATATTTGGTCTTACCGACCAGCAGATTGTTGATGATAAAACCATATACAAAATCAGTTGCAATAATGCACACAATTGTGCATTATAATCACTATAATAGCTTCTCACATCTAGAAGTATCTCCAGCCATGATTGAGCAAGATTTAAGATACAAACAATACTTCTTGCCCTGTTGAAAAGTTTTGTTCCTTTTAAATTTTTAATGAATAATTTACTTTTTTGAGTCGTAAGATTTCTGACGCTTTTCACTTGAATCTGCTTGAAACAAGCCTCCATGATGCAATTTTTCTCATTTAAACAAAAGAAAATTCCCCCTCTCTTATCATGAATTTTGCATTCCGACATTCAAATTTGGAAAATGATATTCGAATATTCGATAATCGATGGGATATTCAGTAAAGCCTTAATGGATTAACCAACAATCCTGGCATTAGTCCCCATACAGAATTTTTTTCACACATTCTGCTGAATACTCAAACATGATTCATCAGTGGAAAAATGTCCAGATTAGAGTGGCACTGTCAAAGCTATCTTGAAGCTTGATTTGGACAGCGTGTGGTTAGTTTCTCTTTCCATTACCCAGTACTCTGTATGATGTGTAAGTGACCTTTGGGCATGCCGTCATCCTTTGAACAAACATGTCCTTTTCTTTTCAGCAATCCGTCAAAATATTTGCACAAAAGAACACAAACATGACAAAAGGTAGTCAATATGCTCCCGTTGCACCATCAGATAAAACATGTTTTTTTCTTGGGACTTTTTTGTAACCAGATGGGCGTCACATTTCAAGGGAAACTGCTGCTTTTTACTCACTTATAATTCTTTTATTTACAACCATACAAAGTTAGATTTCCATAAAGTATACACATACACTCCTCTTACACTGTACGCTACGTGTGTGCAACTCCAAATTCAAGTCTTGTCCATGTCACATATGATTCATGCGTCAATGCCACACAAATGACACTCCGTCATCATTCAACTTCACTTACTGTCACAACGTTGCCATCGACTTGTTTCCCTCTCTTCCTGGTTTGTGAGACCATTTTGTACAAGATTACAAACGAATGGGAGAGGAAGTGATTTGATGTTTTTCTTGCGGACTGATCCAACACAAATCCTTGAGCTGACCCCACTGCGTGTACAGTTGTGGTCGCAAGTAGACATATGTGCATATGTGTGAACAGTCAATTATTAATTACACTTGTTAGAACTCCCCTTGTATATAGCTGGGTCATTCCATGAGGTTGGGGCACAATTTGTGACGGTGTCCATCGTTACGTGGGACCCGTATAAATGAACAGTTATTTCCCTGCATGTGGATTCCAAATTATACATCTTGCAAGCCTGAACACAGAGGTGTGTGTTACATGTACCTTTACAGAGTAAATGACCCTCTGTACAGGTCATGACAGTTGGTAAAAGTTACCCATGTAACAAGGACACCGTCACAAATTGAGCCCCAACCTCGTGGCATGATCCAGCTTCCGGTACCGTACTCTTTCCCTAGCCATTCAATTTAAATAAAGTACATGTACACATAGCGTACTGATTCATCAGCTGCCGAAAATGAATGGAATATCATTTTGGATAAAATGCACCCCCTTACCGTAACACACTATGGCAGCCTTAGCCCCTCGGTAGTAGATCCGGCTCATGGCTTCGTACCGCTCCGATCCGGCTGTGTCCTGATCAACGAGACAAGACAATGATGTCAGATGGATTAAATGGGAGTTGGCATGTGCCATTAGCAGGTTAGTAGACTGTGACGGACTGGCACAGGTGATGACAGAATTCTCAGTGGTTTCAGGCTGGGGGAACAGGACATAGGCACCGGCCTGAGGAGCCCTGCTGGCCCGAGGCAGACTTCATTTTCTCAGGGGCGGAGCAGAAATTCAGCTTGTCTAGCAAAAACATTCGCAGTTCAGAAATGAGGATCTCATTACCAACTGGCTCAACAGGTGTTGACTGTGGTACATTAATCTCCAGCATAAATTTTAACTATCACAAGAAACCGCAGGCATCAAAATGCTAATTATTACTATGAATATACATGTAACTCTACACCACTTCATTATCCACATGCTTTTCCGCATACATAAAAATTATCAATTTTCGATGACTCACTTGGGAACAAAACAGTAGGTGGGATGTTTTAAAGATGCGAAGTACAGTGTACATTCTAGTTTTCAAGCTATGAATCTCTTTATCTTTTGGTATTTGGGTCACTCCATGAGGTTGGGGCATAATTTATGAAGGTGTCCTTGTTATATCCAAAACTTTACCACCTGTCATGACCTGTAGAGTAGGTCATTTACTCTGTAAAAATAACACACACCTCTGCATTCAGCCATGCAAGATGTATAACAATGTCAATTTGGAATCCACATAGAGGGAAATAACTGTTCATTTTAATGGAACCCATGTAACAATGGACATTGTCACAAATTGTGCCCCAACCTCATGGAATGACCCATTTAGCAGGCCATTCTACACAATGTTGGAATATATTCCCATCATCTGATTGGAAAACTGCTGATCAAGTGTAATTAAGTTATTCATGTATGTCTAACTGCATGGCGGAACTGCACCATGAAAACAAATGTTCCATTCCACTCGTAAATGGCAGTTCCATTTCCTGGTTCTTTCCCAAAAGAGGGACTTGAATTTCATGCGGTGACAGAGCAACCATGTTTACCACTGCCTCATGAATATTCATGATATGTACAACATGCAAACATCAAAGTGCTTAAGAAGATGTACATGTATCTTGGCAAAGGTTAGCAACAGTTCAGCGTTTACATATGCACAGGGGTGGACATGTATTTTGTGATGTGTGCAAGTCAAGGAAATTAATCCCTCCCTAGGAAGCAATTAAGAGCATCATATCAACGCAATGATCCGGATGTGGGCACAGGGAATGAACTCATTCAAGAACAGCCCTGGGCAACACACATGTAATTTTCTACACTAAAAGATGCGGTAGGCCTGTACATGTACATGCAATATTAAGAAGGACCGGGTAACTTTTATGTGATACTGCAGACTATTAAGGAAATTTCAAAGAGAAAAACTCAAATGTAACAGCATAATCATGTTTGCCTATTAACCCTAACCCTCCTCAATCCTTCACCTGTTGGAGGATTGAGGAGTGTTAGGGTTAATGATGACATAAGTTCTTGTCGTCTGTGCCCTAGCTCCTCACTTTCCTGCTTAAAATGTTTTGGTATTATTTCTCCTCTGACATGTACTCACCCACACTCCCATGGTGACTGTTCTGCCTTCCACTTCAACTTTCTTGGCACCAAATGCTGCCCCGATGGTCTGCAATGAACGGAAAACACACAAGACATGTTAGAATGTGCCGTTTCCTTGTACATGGATACAGTGAACACTGGGCAGTCTTCACTTTGGTCTTAAATCGTGTCCTGAATCCTCTGCAAATTTCCCCCCAATCTATGCTGAAAGGTAGGCTATGCAAGAAGAAGCAGAGAAGAGGGCTACAATTTGGGAATTATTAACATGTAAGCAAAAATTCCAGTTTAATATTGTAAAAATATCGGCATGTCGAAAAGTAGCAACAACTTCGATGGGGAGATCCATTATCCCTAATCCTCTAGGGTGTGTGTAAAATTCACATTGAAATCTGAGGATTGAGGACTGGTAGGGTTGAAGCCATTTATGAATGAAACGGAATGCTGCAACAGAAGTGCAGCATATTAAACGAGGAATGAATGAGGAAACTAGCCAAAATTGAAAAATCACTGGGCAGGATAGCTAATGTCGGAGCAAATAAGGTGTTGAAGATATACTGTACATGTACGTGGTTGGAAGCTATTAAGGTTATTTTCTCTGGCTAGTACATGTAACTGACAAAAAAGTCTGCCTTGTCCATTAAACCTTGCCTTTTATACATGTACTAGGGCTGTGTTGAATATCCAAATATTCAATCAATTATCGAATATTATTTTTCTTATTTGAATATTCGAATGCAAAATTATTGGACAAAGAAGAAAGGCTTTCCCTTGTACATGAGAAAAATCAAGCAGATTCCAGACACTTTTCGCTGATATGCTCGCCAGCCCAATATACATGTACATGTAGAATCAATCTTGGAATACGGAAATGACTTTTTTACAGAAAAAAAGTGTATGTGCCAAGAGAGCATTCTTTGTGGTAATGATGGATGATGCAAACTGGTGATGCAAACTGTTGAAATAAGATCGGATGAAACCTTCATGACAATATTTCAACTTGAAATAAAAGTGAGAAGCTTTGGTTATAATGTTAAAAATTGTGTGTATTATTGCGACTGATTTTGTATATGGTTTGTTCATCAACAATCTGCCAGCCAGTACGAACGTGTATGCCAATTTTCGTTCAAACTGAAGGTCGAATATTCAAATACATGTATTCAGTTATTCAACTTGACTCAGCCCTACGCGTACATGTAACATGTATATATATACCTGTACACCGAAAAATGAGCGGACAAACGAAATGCACACAGTGCTCTCTACATGTAGGGTCGGCAAGAGGGACATGCACAGGTGGTAGTATGGTCACGTACATGTACATGTATACATGTGCAATGCACCTGCAATGCACCTGCAATACACCTGCAATACACCTGCAATACACCTACAATACACCTACAATACACCTGCAATACACCTGCAATACACCTACAATACACCCGCTGTTGCAGTGACCAATCTGTTAACTTTTACCACCTCCCCATGACTGCTTCTCATCAAATGAACCTTCCCATTTCAGTGACACCGTTCATCCCACTCACTGGGGAAACTTGAAATTTCTCACTTGGAGACAAGCCGTTCACTCAGTGTGGCATGCTAGAGTACATGTATGTATCTGTGCTGCCACACATTTGTACACGTACATGTACATACATGTGTACATGTACAATGTATGTGGCCGAGTTGCCTTCCGATCTACTGACTTCGCAGGTTACAATGTGTGTCAGAAAACGATCAATGCAGTTAGCTGAAGATTGAGGCACTGCTTTGTATATCAATGCGGCTGAACTGTTAAATTACAAAATTACAAGACTGCATGTATGTCAAACATTGTGAATTGAGTGAGAAAAATCTACGGCGGAATTACAAAACTCAAATTCAAACTGCTGAGATAAAATGGCAGCCACAATTGAACAACTGCACCAAAGACGAGGTACAGTCTGCAAGTAAAACAAATAAATCTGGATCAGACGGGAAAACGCTGAATGGAAGATCATTATGTACAACAGGCAAAGAGGAAATCCAAACCAAATGAAGGGCTACATGTAAATTATGTAACACATCATTCACAAAACTTGTTAGGCAGAAAATTTGAGAGATGTACATGTACAAGTTAAAGCAAGGAATTAGTGCCTTTCAATTGATGCTTTTTCAGTGCACATCGTCGGTATGCGTACATGTATGTAAGTTTTGGAGAGTGTCCATTTAAACGCACATGAATGAAATACAATAAACAGATGCCCATATTCATGTAGAATGGACTAAAAACACAAATGGAAAGGCACCCTAAGTCAGTAAAAGAAAATCATTCTACCAGTGTAATATACAGTAATTTGCCCAAACTCTGGAAGCCAACACCTAGGTGGGCAGCAATTTGACAGATGCCAGTCAGTGCAGCTCTACATGTAAACTGAATGGGCCTTGCTATAGAGTATGCTACTGTGGTTTATGCATGTACGACAACAAACGCTAAATTTTGGCAGACTTGGAAATCCCTACCCACAACAGCCCTGGGAGTTTATTGGTGGGGCAGGTGCAACACATTGCGTCTTCTTGTTCATTTGCATGTATACATTTGTTTCCCTCAAATCCAAAGCAACATTTCTCAGTGGCATCAGGCAAACGGCAGTGCAGTGAGCAAATGAAAAGGATCCGCATTGGAAGTGCTAAAATGCAGAGCGAGGCAAAGAACAGCCGCATCTCTCCTCCCAAAAGCATGCTGACAGGGACACTTACTGGTGAGTAAAAGGGGCTTTTCTTGGAAGCTCTCTACAAGTCAAAAGAAAATAAGCTGCGTCAATGAGGGGACAGTGGTAACAGACTACACACTACTTGGCACAGAGTTTAAAAACTTCCCTGCTTTGCACGTGTAACGCACAATGCATCATGTGAATGCTGGCGGCAGATGTTGCATTCCCTTGCTTCATCGCAATCTGCGACACCCAAGCAACCTCTGTGGCAGCTCGCTGAGTTAAATGCAAGCAAGGGCACGCCAGACCACGTCGTTGTTGTACTCGAGTACATTGTTCTGTATTCACACTCTCAAGAAAAAACTCCCTGTACTCGTACATGTTTTCCTAGTACTCGACTACAACACTGACAGACCGTTCGTCGGATTGGTCCATTTGAACAAATTTCGCCATCTGAACTGTGCAATTTGAATGCGTGCCAAGACAATCATGCAACAAACTTCAAATCTTATTGCATTGGCCATACTTTGCGGACATTTGCTGCTGTGACCTGCTCTATTTGCAGGCAAATTCAACACAATGGCAGTAACTCAAGGGATACGGCATTTGCGCTTCAACACAACCAGCATATATCAAGCCTCGTGCCATGCCCGGATCCTTCAAAATCCTCCAGGAGGATGTGGAGAGTTTTGCAGGATTGAGGGAGGTCGGGCCTTGCTCTGTCCCAACCTCGTTCACTGCCTCAACTCTGTTCAGTGCGAACTTGAAGGCAGGCCCCACTTTGTTGACACAGATGGGCCTGCCTAACATGGGCAAACAGTAAGTATCATGAAACTGTGGTGAATACAAAATAAGAGGAAAGGAATCATGCTGAGTAACGTAATGACAAAGTGCAAAAAAGAAATGGGCCGGGGGGAGAGGGCAGGTGGGATGAAGTGGTGTTCATAATGAAAGCAATTTAGCCACCACACCTTGAAATACATGTACAGGTACATGTATGTATGAACATGTAAAACCTTTTCAAGAAGAGCAACAGCCTAGTTCTTGTCAATTTGACTTAACTGTACTTTTTTCTCATATTCAACTCTGCTGGAGAACCAAAGTCAGGCATGCGGCCATGGCGCAATGCTCAACCTTTCCAACAAGGGTTCCACTGGGTCCCTACTCACTGGAGGACGTGACATGATTCTGTAAGGCTAGCAAGTGTGACTCTTGAGGCAGACGAGGCGGAAAGGCTTAGCCAATGGTTTTTCAACTCATACACTCCAGGACTGCTGGAGGGCCACACCGAAGCCATGCAAACCTGGGCACAGGCCCTGGGTAGGTCTAGGGAGGTCGGGGTTTGTCTACTTACGTTTTGATAAGGAACATCCCCGTGGAATCTGTCATGGAGGTACCTCTCCACCAGGCTTGTCTTTCCTCCGTACTCCTTGCCCAGTAGCACAACCTTCAAATCCACCCGACTGCCACTCATTCTTGCTGTATCACTGGCTTGAATCCGAGCAAAAAAAACCCACTATGCTGCTCTGCTCATCGTTCTTTTACAGACACTTGTTAAAATACTTTCTGAAGTTCAACTTGGTTCATTCGTTGGTGTGGTGCCTCCTGGTGACTGAATTTCCCTTTTCTGTGAAGATGTCAGGGTTTAGTTAGCATGGTTAGCAACAGCTCAAGTACTGGAAGCAACATACATAAATGTAAAAATAAAAAGGCGAGCAAGTTCTACTGTTGTTGATGATGCACAGATTCAGTAGAACAATACTGCAATGTCCAAAATATTTGGTTCAGCTTTTCTGTCTCTATGGTTACAGCTCTTGTCCGCTTGGTTTACTGTTTTCACTTATTAACACCAGCATGCAGGTGTAGTCATCATGCATGTGACTTGTAAGCTGTAGTACTAGGCTAGCACTGGTTATGCAACTAAAAAAACTAGGCTATTTTAACATGTTTAACTTAGGAAGGCTGAACTCAGTGCTGAATGATTGTGTACAAGGTGTGAGAAAAAGCGCACAGAACAAAAGTTCATAATAAATTGTGCCACCAGAGGAGTTCTAGTCATCACCATAAACATCGACCCTTACTCGGTGTCGAGATTCGAAAATGTTCGAAGTACGGATTCGGGAGTTCTGGATTCGACACAACATGCACAGCCAGCCACACCGTCAGGTGACTGTAGACGTAGATACTGACGAGCAGAAATGTGACATCAAACAGTGTCAAATCTTGCCTTTTCTGGTTCAGTTGTCCATTCCAAGCGATTCTCACGATGCTTTACGATCCCTGCGCTTTCCGTTGGCCATTTTATAATCTATAAAGAGTAGCAATCTGCGCTAAAAACGTACCATATTTCAAGGAACATATCTCGCAATTTAGCAAAACGATGACTCGCCCTCTCTTGTGTCAAAGGTCAATGTAGCAATTACATCAGGGCGCGTGCGCACTGTTAAATTCATCGGTGAAAGGTGAATGAACTTTCAACCGTAAACAAATAACTTATAGTCTGGTTCCTAAATAATGGCGCTTCCAGCCTTGGTGAGTCCAGGAATCAGACTCAACAGGTGCCAATGTAACGTGCACGTAAAATGAAATAAGGGGAGGGGGAAACTTTACAGTCGAGTGAAGGTTAATATGCGATGGCCAACAGCAAGTTCGAGTATGTCCGTCAGTTTGAGGAGGTTGACAAGCTGTTACCGAATTGTTGGATTGTTATGCGGCTTGATGGCCGAGGATTTCACAAGTAATTTCCGATGGATTCTGTTGCCTTATCGCATGATCATACGATCATCGTGTAATGTGCCTATATGTGGAATGATCCGTTGTTTTAGCACAGTTTGTCATGTGGTAATTAGCAAACAGACTGCTGTACTTTGGATATAATGCCCAATTAGCCAATCAAACCTTCACATAATCTTGTGAAATTCGGGTTGATGGGGCTTTGATAGTTTAACAAAAAATCACAGGATATTCGATTGAAACCATTTTAATCTGTCATGTCTGTGCCTTTACTTTAGGTTACCTATTTTATTTCCCTTAAAACTATGGGGCTCTTCACTCTCTTGAAGTGGCAGAACAAGAACCAACAGCTGTAGAGGTAACTAGTTATCAGGATACTCTTGTTGGTGCTTGCACAGATTTGCTGATGCTCATAACTACACCAAGCCTAGTGACACCAGGGGACTGGGGCTGATGAACTTCTGTGCAGCCTGTGTGATGGATGAATTCAAAGACGTCGTCATTGCCTACGGTCAGAGCGACGAGTTCAGCTTTGTGTTCCGCCGAGAGACGACACAGTTTAGCAGGAGAGCGAGGTCCCTATTTCGTCCTAGCTTCATTCTTACACGTATTTTAATTTCCTTTCACTGTCTGAGACTGTCTGTAGAGAACCAACGGATGAAAGGAGGAAATCTTGACCCTCTGAACAGTTTGAAATATTGACACACAAGTCATGGTTGGGAAATATGAAATTGTATCATTGAGTAGCCTGTCAAGTGGCGAGTTCATTCTTCAAGGTTACACATTCCTCAGGCATACAACTCTTGTGTAATGATCAAATGAACATCTTGTGTTGCACTTTTTTATATATGAGAGCACAAAAGTTGCTGAAAAACTTCCCCCCTTTTTCCTCCTTACAGCAAGCTGATGACCAACATGGTGTCCCTCTTCTCATCCTGTTTTGTGTTCCACTGGAGTAAATATTTCCCCGACCAACAGCTGCTGTATCCCCCAGCCTTTGATGGCCGCGTTGTCCTGTATCCTAGCAACCAGAACCTCCGAGACTACCTCAGCTGGCGCCAGGCCGACTGTGAGACAATTCTAGGCCGAGCCATCAGTATCATTTGTTGTTATTTTCAACTGATCCTTGGATTTTTCAGATGCGCTATACTCCTATAGTGCACATTTATTTCAACTCTCTGAGATCCTTCAGAATCTACTCGAATGTTATGTTAGATTTTGTAGGATTGAGAAAGAAACATGCTTACATGTAGCTACTGTTACTTTCTCCCCTGGGCTTGATACCCCTTTAAAGTACTGAGAAAGTTCCTTTCATTTCCTGTTTAGTTATTAAGATTCAGGAAGATTTCTAGCAGGATACTTCTTGATATTTAGGGCTGAGGCACACCCCCATGCTAGACTTGCTCCTGGTCTCAGCTCACTCCAGTCACGTTGCATTTCAGGTCACATCAACAACTTGTACAACACTTGCTTTTGGAAGCTGGTTCAAGAGGGTGGAGTGTCCCATAAACAAGCTGAGGCGAGACTTAGAGTAAGTCAAACATCACTGTCTGACCCCCAGTGATTGCTGTCGTTTTCCTCCTTTGTGTTTTGAATTTGGTCTTCAAATGACTTGAGACGTGCTTGACTTCAAAAGACAACAACCATTTCATTTTGTTTTAATACATTCTTGATTAAAAAAGCCAGTGTGTAACACGTTTTAAGAAGTCTGTGTATCATAAAAATTTAGATGTAATTCTAATGTCTGAGAACAAGATAGGTGCAATTTCCTGCTTGTCTGTTATTGGCAATACATTTTCTTTTCCATTCTTTGCTGTCATACAGCGTTGAATTTTACATTTATCCTGTACTGCATTTTTCATTTCTGATTCCAGGGAACATTTTCATCTGATAAGAATGAGCTTTTATTCTCCGAGTTTGGAATAAATTACAATGACGAAGTGGAATGGTTCCGCAAAGGGAGTGTGCTCATTTGGAAAATGGTGAGTTGCAAAGTCAGCTTACCAGCTTCAGTATTGAGCCTGGTACCCAGACCAAAAGATCCTCACCAATTTGAGTGATCTTCCTTTTTTTTCTTAAATCATATAAGATTTTCCAAAGCCATTCTGTTGAGTTTTGAGGGATTCCATTAATATCCATGAATAAAGATTCCCAACAGGCATTACACATGGACAAGCATTTCTCAATTATTCTTTGCGTTAGTTTTCATATTGATTTCCGTTATTGCACAATTTCATGTCGATAGATTTGGCAGATGTGTGCATGCTGCACCTAAAAATAGAAGGAAGCCTGCTAGGCATTATGTCATATTCTATTTTAGTGGTCAACAGCTATCTGCCATGAATATCATTGACACGGCAGGAGGCGAGGCGAGCTGGTTGTTAATTGGACCTAGATGATTGTGTCACTGTGACAAAGTTGTCTCATTTGTTGGACTTTACACGTGCCACTTTTCTTAGTGAAACACCCTTTATAAGTTCAAAATCCTGAGTATTTTCAGAGATGGGTAAAATGCAGAAAAAACAATAACTCACCATTTTGGGGGGGTCGGAATGATTGGTTCTGCAGGTGGATGAGGTGACGGTGAAACCCTGCAAGGGCAAAGGCTCGGAAGAGGAAGTTGAGCGAGAGGTCGTCAGGAAGAGACGGAAGGTGGAGCAGCTTCACGTGGACATCATCGGGGAGGAGTTCTGGACCACTCATCCTGAGATCCTCGGCAAGAGTTGACGCTTGCTGGACTTTTCAAACTCTTTGTTAACTGTTTGAAGGAAAACTGGCCAAGGAGGCCTCACCCAAGGCCTGTACTTTGTTACGTTTCCATGGATCCCATGCAAGCCTGTCACTAACTACCAACAGGCCAGGACCAAGAAAATGTTGTTTCTAGTTAAGAGCATGGGTAACAGTTGTCTTTCATGTTGAGAACATTTCAGCATTAATGTTATGGCAGATTACATTAAGAAAACTTACATGTGGCATTCCCCCTCAAATCTGTTTCAGCTTGAGGCCAGCGACACTTGATTTGTGGTCGTGTGGCCGACCTTTGCTCAATGTTGTTATCGACTTCAAGCGAAAACCTTCAGAGGGAATTAAGATTTCAACCACACACAAATTTGTATAAAACGGAAAATCTTGCCTTTGTTTTATTTCAGCAATCTTAGGCAATCCACATATGTGACCGGCTCTAGAAAAACGGGTAATAAGTCGCCAGATTCAGGTAATGATTTTTTGATATGGCTGGATTTTGTACATCCAAACTACAATTTGATGTATGAATGACCCCTGTAGTGTGCTGCATTCTGGAGATAGACGTTTGTACATCCACATTTTCGGATTCAATAAGTGGAGTGCTTAAAAACACAATGCTTTATTGGATTTCCTACTGAATGGTCCATTTTTCATCTTGATTCACCAGTGTCCATGCTTGTAGTCACAAACTCTAAAAATCTAAATATTGAGAGTATTAAAGGAAAAAACACCAAATCCCGTTTTTGAGGCAATTTTGCCCTCTCCAAATAGAACAAGCCATCACGTGTCTTGGCATTGCGGGACTTATTACCCTTTTTGCAGAGCTGGTCACATAATTCCACATCAGCAATTTATTTCACTTCAACACCACACTTACATAGTACTGATATTCTAGGTGCAAGTCTTCAGCTTGTCAACTGACAGTAGAGCAACTACTTGATTTTTCTGAAATAACACGATGGTAGTTATTTGTTAACTTACAAAAAAAAGGGTGTTTGAAATCTGAGTGTACTCGGACAGTTATCTAAATAAGTGCATATTTCAGTGTTATTTTGCCCACGTCCAATATACGATGAAATGAATTGAGAAGTGTCTTAAAGCCTCAAATGACTCAACTGCATTTTCTTGTACTTTTCATAGATGTGATGTAAAGAGTTGATGCAAGATAACCTGACTGGTATCCCAACTGCTCGGCTGTTGTTATCTTGCTTTGCTTAGACCATGTCTGAATGACTCGGCTACGGCTAAGTTTAACACACGACCCTATGGAAGGCACTGGCTAGCGGCTCTTGCAATTTCTCATAGGCACGTGTGTTATTTCTAAAGTCGCAGCCATGCCATTGGGACACAGTTTCTGCCTCCATGGGAGGGGAGCTCATCAAGTCTTTAGGAGTAAATAGTCTTGGAGTGACGATGGTAAAGGCAGCTCTGTCACTCTGTTGAGTCGTTTTCGGCCAAGGAGCCGGCGAACAGCGACCCGACAGTATTGCTGTAAGCTTCGGGGAGAACGGAACGTCTCCCGTAACCACTTCAGTTTCTCCTTGGCCCCCTTGCTGATGTCTTCGGCCAGCATGCCGGGTGGACTGTCGGGGACCGGCAGAGTGCCAGCTGCCCGCACCATGGCGGTAAGCAGCGAGTCGTCGGCGCCGTCCTGGCTGTACACCTCCTGCTGGAGTAGCGTCCGGCCCTGGTAGCTCAGGCAGAAGTCAGCCCCGTGCCGGATCAGGTGGACCGCGCACTGGGGCCGGCGCACTGGCCGCCTGGGGTCAGAGGTCATGAGCTTGAAGGTGCGGCTGAGGCGGAACTCGGCCGTGTGGAAAGTGTGGAGGTGGATGTCCATGTCTGGGTCAAAGGCCACGAGTTGGAGAGGTTTGATGCCTGAAACACATCAACAGGGAAGATAATGTAATAACACGATTTATCTGGTATGAAATAGAACCATCAGTGATCCAAATTAACAATAAGACCGCTGTTGGATGGCAAGTGAGACGTGAGATATGAAATGCTCAATATTGTTAACAAGGAAAAGGACACAACTGTTTGCTAAAAAAACGAAGACGGGAAGGGAAATGTTACAGAGAGAAATCTAAAATGGATCCTGTAGCAGGTGAGATTGAAAATGAGGCTGAACTGGCAAGTTACCTCTATTGTTTTAGGTTTATTATAAAATAGCTTCAGCAACGTGAAGACTGAAACAAGAAAATCTTTTGTAAGGGTAGTTTCACATTTGTTCCAATGTGACAGTGCTACTCTCACCTGACATTCCATGCCGATAGTGGGTGGGGTTACAACCCCCGATGGGCTGATCCACGTCCAGGTCTTGGGCGTTTGTCACCAGGGTCTCCATCATCTCGGGGGAGAAGTTCTGGGAGGGGACGGCGGCGAAGTGGAGGGGGCTGAGCCCGATGGCATTCTGCTGGTTCACGTCGGCCCCACGGAGCAGCAACTCTCGAACGCTTTTGACTAAACCTCGTCGCACACAGTCATGAAGAGGAAAATCGCCTGAAGAGGCATCAATCATCCAGAAATTCTTAGAATCCAGAAATTGGGGATAGGTAACAGAGAACTTCACTTTCTACAAATATTGCTGCTTTCAAAGAGGGTAGGTCTAACCATAGGTTTGTAGCTCTATGGTCTAACTGCCACTCTTGATGTGGCCATTTTCCCAAATCTCAACTTCGTCTAGGACTCGAGATTCATTTCCAACAGAAAATGTGCCGAACTCTCGCCTCACATTACACAGTCTCTATGGTGGAGAATGAAACCACGCAGAGACGGCTTCATCTTAGGAAAGTGAATTCACGAAACCAAATGTTGGAGCCTAAATGGAGATTAAGTTGAGGTTAGGAAACTATGCATCTCAATGGAATATAAAGTCTAATAACACATCTTTCTTCTGAAAACTAACATACACGTAAGGTCAACTTCATTTGCACCCAAGGCTTGAGGTGGCATTGCATTTCGTGTATCCTGGGTTAGAACTAAGCCGATCAGACAACAGGGAAGGTAGAATTTGCCACATGCAAAACCAATAGGATTTCAGATGAATAACTCAGAAGTATAACATGAATCTAGAAACCAATTCCAAGAGATACCTTGCAGGGAACTGTGGCTTAGAAAATACATGTACATGTATTACTATACAATGCATGATATTTTGACCGGTTACCCCTTTTTGCTGGGTGAATAGTTTCAGCATCTCACCGGTGCCCGGTATTGAGGCAGAAAAGACCTGCGTTCCCTCGCTCAGCCCAAGTATCGTCAGGACGCACTCCTCGCTGGCGCTCTGGGCGGCCCAGTTCAGGCAGGTGCAACCCAGCGCGTCGCGCCGGTTGTAGTCGGCATGGCCGTGGGCCAGGAGCTCTTCCAAGCAGGCCACCTGGCTGTCCCTGGCCGCCAGATGCAGTGGGGTGCTACCCCCACGGTAGGGCTCTGGGAGATGGACAAAGGACAAATGCGTCAGTTCTGGATGGTGACTTCATTGCTAAAAAAACATGGTTTCCTCTAGACCTTGTAGCAAAGGATGCCTCTGACTTCAATGCAAGTCCGTCATGATCGATGAAAACTTGGCCAAAGGTTTGGACGTACAGGTCAAGAGACTGCCTTAAGAGTGTTTGTCAGAAATATACTTCCTTCTTTAAATGCTTGGCAAGACATTGACAAGTGTCATTAGAACAGTTATTTTTAATATAGAAAACTGACATTAATATTTTCAAACAGGATTAATTGCGCCAAAGAAAATAAGAATTGAGTCAGTATTTTGTGGGACTGTTCCTGCCGGGTTCGTGTGTGTGTGTTTGTCCTTACTTCGATAGACCCCTGGCCGATTGTAGTCCAGTGTCCCAGCATTGACGTTTGCCCCAGCATCGATGAACAGTCTGACGCAATCCCTGTGGCCGTTAACACAGGCAGCATGCAGTGGAGTCACGCTGTATCGGTCGCCAACATTAACATCAGCTGTACAATCCATTATGATTGAACATAGCTTTTCGTGAACAAAGTGATAGTCAGCCAGACAAAATTCTTTTTTGTTCCTCAGGAAAGTTGAGGACTTGAGAACAAAGGTGCAGGGAAAACAATTAATTAATTCATGACCCTGACCCTAAGTTTTGATTTGATAGAGGTTCCTACATGTACATTGTTATTGTAGCAGCAAATACATAAAACTGTGTGGGACCACTCTCCTTCATTTGAAGAGATTAAACCTTACGAAAAGGGTTTAGAATAACTGGCTTTTGTAAGATATATTAAAGGATATTTACACATTAGCCTGGAAAGTTAAGTTGAACAGGACACTCCAGTTGCTTCCAATTACGGTAAAATGAGAGTGCATGATTAATAATCAAGATAAATAAAAAGAACATACGAATGATGAAGGAGAAGACATTAAAAGTATCTGAAGAGACTGTTTTCATATGACTAGGTTATTTTGTTTCGGTCATTTTAGACGTACCTCCGTTCTCCAGCAGCAGGCTCGCTATCTTATGCTGCTGTTTGCTGGCTTGGGCTGCCCCCATAAGGGGCGTGGTGTAGTTCTCGCCTGACAAGGCCTCATGTTCTGTATATGCTCCTGCTTCTACTGATGCTCCCTATTAAAAAATAAGAGAGTCTTAAGACTTTAATTTTTCCTTTTTCAGCTAAAACATTTTCACGGGGAGGGAGTCATGAGATCATTAAGTTTTATATTTGTTCCCTTAGAAAAAATTCCATGGACATCACTTGACATCCTGCCGACAGAAAATGTGACACTTGTCTCAAAAAGTGTTTTCTTCGTTAATGCTTCAATGTTTTCCCTCCTAAACTTGACCTTTTATGGCATTTCATTGCTTTCTGATGGCTCATCAACTCCAGGGGAAAACAAGAGCTTGTATGAATGTGGATCTGTTTCCGTTTTCCTTCAACCATCAATACAAACACATTCTTAAAAAAGTCGAGGTCTATTTTTCTTTCCTAAAAGAAACAAGCAATACAAAGAAGCTCTTCCACGGTCCTGACTGATGACCTCCCCCCCCATGCCTGTAATATGTTTGGCCTCTCTTCCCAAGGACTGTAGGTCTGCTGCACTCAACAAGTTGGCCTCCCACATCCCATCTGCCTTGTCCGCATTTGACATGTTTGAGATTAATGGCCACTTTTCAAGACTAACAATCCCCACGAGCCCATGATGTTCCCCCATGATGTTCCCCCATGATGTTCCTCTGAATCCAGAGTCTTGTCGAGTTATTCAATTTATTGAAAGTAATGCGTTAACTTCATTACCTGATTTGGGGGTTTGTTTCTCTAGAATGGGGAGGGGGTCGTAAAAAATGGGAGATTGTATATTTGGGGACCCCCTGGTTTTTTGTCATTTTAATCTTATAAAACTGGTCACTCCCCCAAAAAAGACAAAGGCAACGGCAATTAAGAATGGTAAACTGTGACAAAATGTGACTTTCTTGTGTGACTGATGCAATATGCAAAATTGAATCCACCATGCGTCATGTATTGAAACACTCACAGTTTCTCTCATAAACGTGACAAAATTCTCTCAAAACCCTGCCCTCTTTTCACAACATCAACCCTATACTATAGTTATTGACATCTACCAAGGTGAATCCAAAACTTAAAATGTTGGAAAAGCGTCCCCAAATATACAATCCCCTCAAAATGGGGGCGGGGATAAGCCCACCATGCCTACTGCGCCAGCACTGGATGCTGTTTGGTCAGCTGAGCTCAGTGTGGCAATTTTGTTTACCTTCTGCAGCAGGTCAATGACGGTGTCGATGTCGCCCTCGCAGCAAGCCCTCACCAGGCATTTATCGAGGAGTAGCTGAGGATTCTGACCGTCGTTTGCGTCGAACAGCTCTAAGGGGTCTCGCTTTCGAGACATGGTTGAGAATTTGACGCAATTTAAGTTGGTTGATTGACGGTAACCGAGCTTATAACATGACTTCACAAGATTTTTTTTCGACCCTGGCTACGTTAGGCTGTTACCTCGACAGCTCAGCTTTAAATAGGCACTGTTTGACGTTCAGGTACTGACTCTATACCCTCGGGTGAGATTTTGACACAAGAGGGCGCTCTAGCATTGTACTGTGAACATTTTTGCAGGCCCTTTCCTAAATTTCGGTTTCGTCTTCATTTTGGTTCCAAAAGTTAACCTGAGGGGCCCAAGTACAACCCCCGCAACTTTGGCCAAACATTAAAATGTGGCTGCATCGTCCTTCAGAGTCTCATCTCAAAGAACTGAATACATTAAAAGCAAAACGATTATCTGAAGCCGAGATCGAAATATGACAACAAAACGAAAACCTCTTTAACCCTCAGGGCAGCCACTCCCCAAAACTGCGAAGGGTGTTGTCACCTCGTGGAGATTCTTATCATTGGTCAATTCCCGGTCATGCCTGAACCAATACGACTGTTTTATGGTGCCTAATACATCCCCCAGGTCCCCTCTAACTACATTTCATGCTACGTAAAACTATGTCACAACCACTCAGCCGGACCGGTTAGCACACGTCTGTAAACCAAGGAGCAGCCACGCCCCCCCCAATCACCCCCTTATCCCATGAGGTGATTTTTGTCTCCAGGTCAGTTTCCAGTCATGACTGAATCTGTTCAACCTTTACGACTGTTTTATGGTAGCTAATACATCCCTGACCTCCCCCTAACTACAAGTACAAGTAATACCAGGTCACAATCCAAACAGTCGCCGGTCAGCACATGTCCGTAAACAAAGTGACCCGGTTCCTGATAGCGACCATATGGGCTCCTTGGGGTGACTGATCTTTCAAGAATCTTAACTCGGCAGTGGCTGGGGTCTGGCCAATGGGAGTTTACAGGCTTGTGGGTTATGCCTGAAGTGAGGATTGCAAAAAATCTCCGCCAAGTTGGCCCACTGAGAAAAACGTTATGACCATATTTGGTGACGTTTGTCGATCTCCATCGCCGCGCCGTTGAGCCCAGGGTATTAAGGAGTAACAATCGATGATCTCCCGCCAAATGCATTTCGCCATGCCCTCGGTCGAGAACCTTCTACGGATTGCAAAATTATTTGCTTGTAATCATTAAAAATACGCCAAGAGAGGGAAATGAATTATTCTCTCCTTTACGCAGTACATCTTCGAATCCACTCCGCATATAACACGATGTTATCTGCCAGATCCCGCACCCAGCTCATGATTTTTTACCAAGAGATGACTGCGAGTCTTCGCATTTGTACAAAAAGATACAGAGATAAATATTAACGGGACAAATCATTTTTAGAATAAAAATATGGAGTGGTTGTAGCTAATAATATTAATAACACAGTGCTAATTGGAGGAAAGGAAAGAATTTAAGACTAGACAAGAAAACAGGCAAATTATATTTTGACGAAGCGCTAGCGACCCGCAAAGCTCTTATTTTATTTTCCAACTATTACAGAGCCTGCCTTATGCATGTGTTAATAATATTCCACGTTAGCTTCCTCTTATGTGATCTACAAGCATACACGAAATATGTTTCGTCGATCAGCTAATGCTATACATGCTCACAAAAAGAACAACACATTTGCTGTAGTCTGAGGGGATGGTAAACCTTTAAATTTTGACGCAGGCAGCTGTACTGGAGCATCTGTGTTACCACACTGTAGGTAGGGCAAGGACGATGTTCATGTTGTTGAATGAATCAGTAGTCTGTTCATTGATTATGCAGTGTTGGGAAATGATTAACATCCTGTGATCAAATATGCAGCAATTATCAGCAACGTAGATGATTCATGAGAGAATGATGCTGTTTGGACATTTTATTTGTGTTATCAAATTACAGTACTATCAAAATTTCTGGCCCAAACTATCCTAAACTAGTAAGACCAGCATGAACGGATATGGCTGAGTGTGTATTTCCATTCGACACCTACCCCTCTAAATCGTGGATTTGAATTCACTTCGAGTAGCGTCCCGTCAACACAAAGGAGTCCCAAATGCCTGATTTGAATTTTGAGTGGCCATGTAATAGTCGGTTAGACTACCGCATCATACTGCTGAAACTAAATTTGACTCTTGAATCCAATCATCAAAGTGCCCAGCGCGCTCTGGAATTCGGTGGCCGAGTCGCTCAGTCTCAAAAGAGGGCGCCACCACCGAGGAAGGTCGGCCGTCTCTGGTCAATTCGGATGAGTCGGGCGTGGTTGGTGTGACGGGAGTGCCGCAGGAATCACTGTCTCTGAACAGCAACACTTTGTTGCCGTCTGGGTCCGCTGTTTGCCAGCGTTTGTCACTGATGGGTATGCACACCCGTGGCAGGAGGGGCACCAGCTGCCCCATGTCACCGACCTTGAATTGCAAGATGGTGGAATCCAGAAACTTCGGCTTGAACTCCGGGGGAAGCTTCTTCAGAGCCAGTTGGACCTCGAGGTTCAAACTTTGGCTGCAGAAGACCAGGAAGTAGCAGAAATCGGCCTTCTCCACGTGCGTCGGGCGGGAGAGTAGCAGGCTGTAGAAGCTGATGCTATCCGCCCACATCTCGTCGGAGACGAAGAGCTGGAACCGGAGCCGGTCCTTGCCGAAGTGGACCTGGCGGACGGCCCACAGCGCTGCGTCCTGCCGGCTTTGGTGGGCGTAGAAATCCTGGTTGTTGGTGGGGTAGGGCACGTTTTTACTCCCCATCTTGCCCCGGTGGTGAAGCTCCCAGGGCTCGGAGCCTAGGTACTTCTGAGCCTCCAGGATTCTTTCCATGCCGAACTCTTCCTGAAGGAGCAACACCACGCCCAGGGTCGGCACCCGAGCGGGCCTGTCTTGGTCCAGCGCGCCGCTACCGGACTCAACACTCCGGTCGCTGGCGGCCGACTCGCTGCGCTCCACGAAGTTGAAGAGCTTGAGTTTGGGCACGATGGACTCAATTAGTGGGCGGAGAATCTTGCGAAGTGGGTGGGACTGCCCTGGGTCCGTAATGAAGTGAAGTGTCAGGGCATACGGGTCTTTAGTGAGTTCAGACTCCTCCTCAACTATGTTGGAAAATGAAGAAAAAATGACAGTTAAATAACACACGAATGTAATGAGAAATTAATTCTGACAAGTGTGATTATAATCAGAGTGGATAAAAAAGACAAACGCCAATTAAGTATCCTTTGGAGGATTTTTCAACTAGGGCCATTGTGTCTCACTTTAAAGAATCAAGTTCTTTCGTCAACAAGTTAGCACGGCGAGGGTACTTGCGCTGACATCATGCATTGGGTGCATGTTTTCCCAACCAAAACGGGTGATTTATCTCTTTCGCGTTTTCATATATCGTCCCACGGTAACAATATCCGACACGCTCGTCCTCTGTTAATTTCCTATTTGCTCAAGCTTCAACCACCCCCTTTCTTACATCTGCGGATTATCTCTTCTCTCGTGATCCTTCAGATCGGATTCGATTCACCGGGGAGCGAGGAAGTCTGTGGACGTCACGGCTTGCTGGTTAATGATGGTAAATCCGCTTACCGACTGCTGCGGTTCGCTAAACCAAACCCCGTCGAGGCGGATTGAAAACATTTGTTTGCTGAATACAATGCAGCCGGCCAACGAGCTGGTAGTTCGCACCCAATGACGGGATTAAGATAAAAAGTACCGACCCCTCGCTGATACTTTTAAGTGCTCGCACAAAAAAAGTGAATTGCAAATTAAGTGCTCTTTGCTTTTCACAGAAACTAAGTGCATTTAGAGACTGAAGCAAACAAAATTAACGACGTCCACATCGGGAACCAAGTTTGAAGAATCAAAACTGTTTTTCACTCAAATGTGCACTATATGTATCTAGATGTATAAATTTTCATGCACCCCATCAAAGTTGCATCGACGTTTGGCGAGACGGTTACAATTGGACAGTCATATTCCTGACGGCCAAGCTGGTTGATAATTACACTCATTTATTAAGGATATGCTAGCGACCCCAAAATGTCACAGAAGTACGGCTGTAAACACGATGCATCTTCACGCGCATGTCTCATGTCAGAGGCATGCTCAAATACAGTGTACTTGCGCAGTTTTAGTCCACTACGTTGATTGTTCCAAACATAAAGTTCAATTAAAGAGCATGATTGTTGTGAGTGAACTATTCTCGTGCAGTTCAGACAGGGATCTTGTACGCTGAGACTCGGTCTCGAGGTTTCCATGCAATAAAGGCGCGTTTCCATACGTACGTTTTGGGGTGCTTTGCGCAGACGATGCGTTCCACTTTCGAAACTCGACTCCATTAACGTAACACACGTGTGCGTTGCGTTCGCTCCCAGGGCGATTTTGACGGATACGCAACGCTTGGCGCAAGTGTTGATGTGCATACGGAAAGGCATCTTATCAAAGATAAATATATATTGTGCATTTTCTTCATGTCATCAAAACTCCTCGTTTTTGGCTGCAATGATGTCAATTTACATGTATCTTTATACATGCTTCACGCATGCCTGTTGTGCCTTTCTTCTCGTTACGTCATCAACCCAACACAAACAGAAAATTTGACCTCGCCTTTCCGAAATTGACCCTGTTGGTTGTCGACAGAAATTGCCTCTTATTTCTCTTGTGTTGATTTTTGGCAGATATATTCATGGTATACTGGTTTCTGGGTGGCCAACCTACCTCCCAAACCCTAGATGTCGCAATTTCTGAAGCCTTTTCCCTACCTCTTTAATACCCCAGCCTGCGTTCAGAGGTGATTGGACACTAGCACCTGTCCTAGTCTTCATAACCTCTTTTCTGTGGATGGCTTGATGGAAAGTCAGCTAGTCTCGCTTAATGTCAATCTGCTACCCACTGGCCACGAAACCGTGACAACCCCACGTAAAACACGACGCTCTTTTCATACCCGGAATTTTATGGTCGTACGGAAGGAATTTCCGCAATAAGTGGTTATCTGTTCTCATCAAATCCAATTAAATTGGACAAAAGAACCCGACAAAGCATGGACGCCATCGTAAAAATAACGTGTCCAGAAATAAAAGTCAGATTAAAGAGGGAAATAAAGAAGGGAACCGGCTTGAATAGGTGGACAAAGTGTCCACG